AATGGTGCTGGTTGTCACTTTGCAAGCCCTACATGACACAGAACCACATTATGTGTAGGAGCACCTGTCTGTCATTGTCCCTGTATGCCCCATCAGGGTTGGCAAAGTAGACATGTCTATGTCCTGTTATTGTGGAGTGGGAAAGATCTGTACTAGTTTCCAATTATTTACTGGGCATCATCTAAAATGGTGCTGGTTGTCACTTTGCAAGCCCTACATGACACAGAACCACATTATGTGTAGGAGCACCTGTCTGTCATTGTCCCTGTATGCCCCATCAGGGTTGGCAAAGTAGACATGTCTATGTCCTGTTATTGTGGAGTGTCATTTGATGGGACCTAGGAATCATGTCTTCTCTGTTGCAGTGCCTGCTCTCTGGAACAGCATTCCCATGGAGATCCAGATGGCCTTGACTCCGTTGCCCTTTTGTAAGGCAATAAAGCCCTGGTTGTTCCTTCAGGCTTTTGGGCCAGGACATTCAGTAAGCACTGTTGGCTGATTTGTTTGGTTTCTGTCCTTAGACTAGAAGTGGAATGTTTTTAGATCATGTGTATATATTTATCTTATTGCTTCTCCTTGTTATTTATGTGTTTCTGTTTTGGTTTTAATACTTGTTCACTGCCTAGAGTCACAATATTGTGAGATGGGCAGCTATATAAATTGCTTCAATCAGTCAATCAGTCAATCAATCAATCAATCAATCAATCAAGGAAATAAGTAAATGCTGGTGGTGACCTTTAAAGCCCTAAATGGTTTAGGTCCTGACCATCTGCCTCTCCCATTATAAACCTGTCCAGTTACTTAGATCAGCAAGAGAAGCCCTTTTGAAGATCCCCCTCCCACCCACTACCAAAAGTTAATTTATGTGGCACATAGGAGAGAGCCTTCTTCTGTGTGTCCCCAAGACCTTGGGATGCATTTCCAAAGGAGATGTGTTTAGCCTGCACGCTCATGGCATTCAGTAAAATGACCAAAACCCCCACCCCTCTTCCACCAAGCTTTTGTTATCTGAACTGGTTTTAATCACACTGGTTTTAAATTTTACCTCTGCTTTTAATGGTATTGTTCTTGTTTTTGTATCTTATAATTTGCATTTTAAAACACTCTCTCTCAGCCAACAACCTCACAGGATTGTTGTGTGGGGAAAAAAGGAGGAGGAAGGAGTATTATGTAAGTTCACCACCTTTAGTTATTTATAAAAAATAATAAAGGCGGGATAAAAATAAACAAACTGCTATAAGCTTTAATTATCATTGTTAGTGTGAATAAAAAAGATATGAAACAAATGTTTTAGAGAGCCTGTTTTTGTTTTGTTTTGCAAATTGCACTTCCTTGTAGCTCTGACACAAACTTTCCCAAATTATGGTTAAGTGTTTCCATTTCTCATGAACATGACAGTGGATTTAACACACATCCAATTCTAAAAATGCTTTTGCCTAGCGTACTTACCGTTCTGTTCCTCTAATTCATTTCCAATTTCTCGTCCCATCTGTTTTTGGCGAGATAAGATTGAGGAGAGTGCATCAAGACCAGCATCTTGCTCTGTACAAGAAAGCAAAACAAGTTCGGGGAATATAAATTTCAGGTGAATAAATCCCAAATTTATATGTAAAAACTGCTGAAGAAATGCCCAAGCTTGGGTTTAAACTACTAAAATGTATCAACTGAAAGAAAACTCGATAATGGTTGGATAATAAATTGAATAGTCAAATCTTAATATAATAAAACAAATAGAAACAGCACTTAAGTTGACAGTCAGAAAAAAAGAAAAGAAAAAAAATGAACTACAAGGTATACATTTTTGCTAAAGATGAATTTGGAAGATGAATATGTTAAAGACTGTATGTTTAAATGGGCAAAAAACTTCGGATATAACATAATGCTGGAACAATGGGAAAATATGTGGAATAAAGGTTTGAAGTTTACTCTTAAGTATATCTTAAAAGAAAATTTCTATAAAATGATGTACCGTTGGTATTTGACACCAGATAAACTGTCTAAGATGTATAAAGGAATCTCAAATGTATGTTGGAAATGCCATCAGTGTGAAGGCATCTTTTATCATCTACAGTGGACTTGTGAAAAAGCTAAGAAATATTGCAACATATGTATTTTGATTCAAAACATTTCAAAAATGGATATACAATTGAAACCATGTATAAACAGATAGAAAGAAAATATGGAAATTTGTTTCTTTATATGATAACAGGAGGGAGATTTTTATACACGCAAAAATGGAAGGATTTACAAATACCTACAGCTGAAGAATGGATATTGAAATTAATGGAATTGGCAGAGATGCCAAAACTGACTACTTTGATTAAAGAAAGGACATTGTCCAGTTTTTTTTTAATTTTTATTTTAGACATTGTCCAGTTTTGTTTCTATTTGGAAACCACTCTTGGACTTTTTACTCAACAAAAAAAGAAAAATGAAATTTTGATTTGGGGATTTGATGACTGATTTATTCTATAACTACAAAAATATCTTGCATTATTCTTTTTTATATTTCTTGTTGATATAGACTTATTTTGTAATCTTTCAAAATGTTAGAGCAAAGAATAGTTTTTATTATGTGAATTTTTAGATATTGGAGTAAGAGGTGAATGTATTTTATACCTA